ACATGGAATTAATTTCTACTAACTTGACTTTTATTGATATAAACTTAGTTTCATTATTACATAAAACTGAAGACTCTCACACCACTTAACTCAAACTTCCTAACACTCGAAAGCAAACAAACGCATGCATTTACATCCCACCAATGATGTAAACCACATGCAAGACCCTCACACACAACCAAACTTAAACAAGCAAACTAACACAACGAACTAAAGCAACGACTTAACAAGACGTCTAGGTCTTCCTGGCATCAGAGTTGATTGAAGGCTCGTTCGGCTCGTCCCCATCATCTTGAGTAGCACCCCTCTCAACCTTTGAGTGAGTGCGCTCTGAATCTTCTTTCTCATCATAACTTAAATTAACGACCGGAGGATCCATTGGAACTGGGATAGCTTCTCTTGTCACCATACGAACCTTGGGCGCCAGCAGGTAGCGGGGAACAAAAAGAGCTCTCTTCCTTGCGGTAAGACAAACCCTGGCCTTCTGTGGTGACGCTTCTCCCTTCAATTCGGCCAGTTCCTTCTCCAGACGATCAACCTAGCTTGTCCTCCAGCTTGCAGATCTTACCACGGTTCTGGTCTTCACGAGCTTGAGCAGCTGACACGATTTCAGCGCGGGACTCATCCATGGCCCACAGCATCTCGACCAAATGTCTTGTAGTAGCATCATTCTCAATTCCTTCAGGATCAACATAGCTGGCACGGTCACTTCCCTAGGGTTGACGAGGATAGTAGCGATACTCAGTGTCGGCCAACAGATCATTGTAACGGTCGCGGAGCTCTCCTATGGTGATCCTTGCCGCCTCCTGACAAGCATGAGGATAGCTTCCCCCTCCAGCCTCGAACATCACCGATGGGATCTCTTCACGATCACTATTCAAGGTGACCTTGACACGGAACTTCTCTTCATCACGATCATGAGGAATCTGGGCATACAAAGGGGCAGTCCCGAATCCTATGGTAAAGGACATCGGACGTAGCTCTTGGACAAATCCCTCAATACCAAACAAGTACTCAGGCTTGAAGCGCGGCATCTAAAGACAAGTGAAAGGAGGGAGTTAAGACATTTATCCAATTAATAGCACAAGTTTTTGGATTAAATTGAATAAAGTCAGAAAATCAAAGTGAAAGGTAAATAAAGTAAACTAATCTTGCAAGATAAGTTGAAACAGTTGAAAACAGGATCACAAATTTTGCACTTTTGAATAACAGGTTTCAAAAGACATAAAATAAAAGAGTGTTATAAAATCAACATGCTAAGTTTATGATATTTCAACATGATTGAATGAAAATAAATAATGTTGTAAAACTTTTGCTGGTAAATGGGCCATTAGTACAGTAATAGATGTACAATACCAACAACACAGGAATAATGAGTAAATTTTGAATGAGAACAATTGAAGAGACTATAATCTGCATGTGCCATTAGCTTGGTTTAATTAAAAGAGAAAGAGAGGAGAATAATTCTACTTTTTCAATATTTTTAGAGGGCTTCTATAGGTAACCATTTGGCATAACCTAGGGTTAAGGAGGCTCTGATACCAACTTGTCACGCCCGGAATTTCTATCCAAAACTCCAAACGCTTACATGTGTGTAAACCCTCGTCCAGGAATCAGCTGAGGCACACAATAACAAATTGATAATAGAGTGCAATTATTAATCTAATTAAGAGGCGAATAAAAAGTCATTACAGAGATGGATAGTTCCTCTCAAACAATAAAGATCTAAGCAGCGGAAAATAAAATAAAGAGCACAGGCGACTCCATCCCACAAGCAGCTTGACCAGGGCTACGCCTAATCCTCCACACCTTCAGCATCACTGTAGAACTCCTTCTCTGATGAATGATTGCAAGATGAGTATATGACATACTCAACAAGCCACGCAGCAAATATGCAAGTGCAGGGGATAATAAAGGATGGCATAATATAGTCTCATTTGCATAAATGGCATTCAATAAATACTTCAGAATTTAGAAAAACAGTAAAGTATTTAATTAAACAATATTAATTCAACGCTACACAACATACCCGTTGCATAGGCCCAACATTTCTAGACAACCATTCCCGGCTGCACAGTTCTATCTCCAAACCAGGAGCTAAGCAAGTTATTACCAATTACAGCATCATTTATTATGGTGAGAGGTGTGAGACTAATCACGAAAGACATTGTTAGACCCGCCCATAACTGCGGGCACGGCTATTCGGATAGTTTTTACTCTGGCTAGAGGTGTACCACTATACCCACAAGACACAACCTCAACATCATGTCAACCATGCGTCGCGATACTTGACAAGTACCCGAATAGAGATTGTGACAATACCCTCCGCATAACACAATTCAAAGTAGTGCACCATGGACTCCCCAGCGACCCCCGTAGGCTTATCTCCGCCACTTCTCAGTCTGGTGCCCCACAATGAACCACACTATACAAAAGGTAAAGCTGTTGCCCACGCTGGCTTGTGGTTGGCACGGTTAATGTTTCACAACCGAAAATTGTGAACCGGTCCTTAATTGTCATGAGCACGACCATCAAAACCATGTGCTCACAACCCACCGTTACCATGTTTTAGTTGACATCTTAATTAATCATCCTATCATGATTAACCATCATGAGCTACCATTAATCCATCATTAAGTAATAATGAATCATTAATTATCCCATTCATATGAGCTAGTGTCTCTAAGCATGGCTAAGCATCCTAATTACTTTAGCCAAAACCATATAATGTTATAGCTAATCCAATTATTAACCAGGTGACAAAGTATAGGTAATCAATAACAAAAGGCTATAACAAAGGAAATAGGTCATTCCCACTCGATGACATTCAAAAATAAATGCAATAGTTGAATAGAAACAATAGCTTTAAACGGGATCAACATGCTCAAAGGGTTGTTTGAGGTGTGTGTGACTTGCCTTGCTGGCCTTAGAACTCTTCAAAATCTTCTCCTGCAAAATCGGACTCTCCGGGAACGTCGGAATCTAAACATAAAAGAGCAAAATCACCAAAACAGTACATAAACAATCATAAACAGCACATGTGGATATTTTTAACATGTAGATCCCAATTTTAGAAAAATTTAGAGACTTGAACCAACTAAATCCGAGCTAAGATGAATTAGTTATGAAGTTTTAAATATTAAACCGGATTAAATCATTTATATAGATTTTAATTGGATTATGACGCAATAACGAATTATTTTTGAAAAGAAAAAAGGATTTATAGTGTCAGTGGGCTCGGGTTCACGGTGGACAGGTTGCACGGAAGCGGCCTATGGAACGAACGGCTAAGATCTAATCTAAACAAAACGGACGGCCGAGATCGATCGGATCTACCACGGGTCTACGGCTGATGTGGAGCTGATGTCGACGAAGACGTCATCACCGGCGGTGGCTCGACACCTCGTGCTCGCCGGCGAATGACGGCGCGGCGGCGCAAACGGACCACACCTACGGGTAGAGGGCGACACGGCGAACTCACCGAGGGCTCGAACGACGACAGACGGCAACCGACGGCGACGGCAGCGAGGTCGAAGCGGCGAAGACATTCGGGTCGACGGCGACGGCGATGCTCCGGCGATCTTCGGCGGAAACGGAGAACGGGACGAGGACAGCGACGACTTGGTGAACACGACAGCGACCTTCCCGAGCGACGATGACGACCAGAGCAGCAGCAGCGCACGGCTGGACTTGCGGCGGCGCACGGGCTAACGCGGCTAGAGCTCTACCAGCGGTGGAGGGCTAAGGCGAAGGTGGCGGCGGACGAAGGAGGTCTCGGGGGTCATTTTATAGGGGCTAGGGGGCAGCGGCTAGGCCCAAGACGTTCGGCGTCGGCGATGGAAGGTTTAGGGTTAGAGGAGAGAAATCAAATCCGAATCGAGCTCGAATCCGATGATTTCCAAGCAAAATTAGATAAAGTTTCTATAGGAGAAAAGATAGAGGAGATCGAAGGGATCATTTCCCCCCTATCAATTTGATCGGATCGGGAAAGATGCAACCGAATTTGGAAGGGGCGGTGGCGGCTTGCGCGCGGCTAGGGCGCGCCTGGCGGCGGGAGGAGGCAGACGACCCCCCCCCCCCACCTGTCAGCGGGAGAGAGGAGGGAGAGAGGGCGGACTAGGCCAGCGCGCACAGGCCGGGAAGAATGAGAGACTTGGGCTGACTTTCGACCCAAATTCAAAAGAAGGATTTTAAAACCTTTTTCCTTTTAAATTATTCATGAAATGCAATTCCATTTATTAAAAATACTTTCTTGGCTCAAATAAATCCCAGAAAAATCTAGGAACTATAGAATCAAGAGAAGTATTTAATAAAATTTTATCTAGCCCACTTTTATATTGGAATTTATTACTTAAAATTAGATCTTTTCTTCTAGGCTTTTAAATCATTTCTAAAAATTCCACTTAAACAAGAATTTATAAATTTGGGATTTTTAGGGTGTGACAGATCTTGTCATTGGCAGTGAGCTTTTTACTTAGAGCATCGGTAGTTTTAGCTTGCGCAAAAACTAGATCCTTCAAGGAGGATTGGTTAGAAAAGTTACCGTTGTTATTACCTCCTAGATAATACGGGCGTGGCTAGTTCCACCCTTGACCGCCTTGTGGATGGTAACCGTTGTTGTTGTTGCCCATGTACATCGCCTCCTCATAGGTTTCTGGGCAATCATTCCCAGAATGACCCATGTTGCCGCAGACCTCACACGTAACGTGTGAGTCCAAGGCCTTGATGGTGCCTTGAGGCCGTTTGTCGTGGTCGTCCAATCGCTTCATGAGAAGGTCCAGCTTGGCAGCAAGTAATTCCGTCTCCTTGACGGTGTGCATGCCTCGCTGACGGGTCTGGAGTCGTTCCTCGCTCCAACCCATATTGGAGACCATCTTCTCTATTAAATCAGCGGCTCCTCGAACCAATTTAGAGAAGATAGCTCCTCCAGCTGCCACGTCCAGGTGATCGCGGGACATGGGAGTCCATTGTAGAAGTTCTGCATGATTAGCCAGTTGTCAATCCCATGATGAGGACAGGCGGCCACATACTCTTGAAGTCGTTCCCATGCTTCAGGAATGGCCTCGTCCCTTGTCTGCTGGAAGAACTCTTGGTTTTGCCCATCGGGAAGAACTTCGAGAGGAATACCGTAGAACACTTGTCCCAGGTGTTGACAGCAGCACGGTTAGCGTAGAACCACTGCTTCGCTCTCCTGAGGAGGGAAACCGGGAACAGCCTTAGCCTGACGGTGTCTGGACTGACGCCCTTTATGGCGTACGTGTTACAGTTCTCCAGGAACTGCTGTAGATGAGCATTGGCATCCTCGTTAGGCTTGCCGCAGAACGGGCTAGCCTACGCCATAGTGATGAGGCTGGACTTCAAGTCGAAATCCATGTCTCCCATGTTGATCTGTGGTCCAATGGCCACATTCTCAGCAGAGGGAGCAGCGAACTCATGGAGAGTCTTGTCAGCTATAGTCTTGAAAGTCGGTGGCGCTGGTACGGCTGGTTTCTTTGTCAGTAGAGTTTTCTGCAGAGCAGTGGCTCACGGCCTGACGCTCTGGAAGAAAGCTTCTGGATTTTCTTTGAAATTTTCCGGCAAGTTGAAATCAGTCATGTACTACCCTGCTTTCACAACAAAAGTAAAAACAACCAAGGTTAGCTTGCAAAGGGAAATGATTATACAAAGGTAATTAGAAAGTATTAGGTCAGGTAATCTCTATTATGAATCTTCCCTGGCAACAGCGCCAGAAAAGCTTGTTAGTATTTCTTAATGATATTACTAGAAATATAATTCCCAGCAATGGCGCAGAATTACTCCTGGTATATTATGGTTACAGAGTTCATCCGCAAGCGCACGGATATACCATTGTAGCATTTCACCCGAGAGTTTTCCAAGGGTATCGTATTTATTTTATCCCGTGGGAAGATCATGTGGAGAGAAGCCGCCCCTGACTGCCGAGTTCCTTACGACAGCCCGTCATGACCATACAACCGGGGCTAAATACGGAGGAGTACCCTCCCCAGGGAATTAACTTAGGATTATATACGCGCGCGGAGGAATACCCGTACTGAGCTATCACCATCAGTGGCCCACCTCTCATCCGCAGCATATAACTCCAAATAATAATATCCCGTAATCCAGACGCGACGTCTAAACTACCAGATACTACTCTAATATCATCGTCATGACATAGAGTAATTGCGTAAGCAAACATTATACCCGCACCAAAGCATCTCCCATATAAGCTAGCAACATATTCAGTATAACATGAACATAATTTAAAGTAGGCATTAATATACTTGGAAAGTATTTCAATATCATAAATGTATAAAGAAGAGTATTCTAATAATAGTACAAAGCTTACAAAAGAGAAAAGGAAAGATACTAGAGCCATTCCCGAACTCTTCCAAAGGCTTTCGGACTCCCGATTTCTACTCTATTTCTATTCCACTAGCTTAATAACACTAAACTAACTTGAGAGAATATGAGAGAGCTCTTGCTTGAGGTGTGTGTGTGATGTAAGAATGGCAACTCCTTTTATAGGCAGGTAATGACGGTTATGATGGTTGGAATGGTCGGTAATATCCTGCAACCGTCATTGGTGATCAATCCCAGCTGTCCATCAAAACCCTGCATCCATCAGCGCCACGGGAGGTTAGGTCAAACCCACTGGTTCGGCCGAACCAGGGGCCGGACCAACCAGCCCAAGTTTTTGCTAGTGGCCTCCTCCGTTGCTTCACTTCGTAGACTTGTGAATTTTGGCCCAATTCATCGTGTCAATTCTGAGTTCTTGGCCCATTCATACATAAGTCTGATCGTCGACATCGTCCGATTGATTTATCGTCTGAGTTGATTTATCGTCTGATCATCGACATCGTCCAATTCGTCTGACTTCATTGTTATTCTCTGCAAAAGGTTAGTAAACCTAATACTAGTGGAATATTATTATTCTTACATGTATATGCATTGCAAGCATCACTAGTTCTCCTCTATTTTGGTAATATTAACGATCAAAATTGATCGATAACGACCGTCAACAGCCAGCGTGGCATCGTTTAGTGGAGAGGTCGGAGACCGGCTTGGCACAGAGAGGCGCAGCCGATGGCAGCGGAGGCCGGCTCGGCGCGAGAGGCGCGGGCGGCGGAGATCGAGGCCGGCTTGGCGTGAGAGGCGCGGCCGATGGAGGGAGGCCAGATTGGCGCGATAGGCGCGTCCGGTGGAGGAGGCCGGCTTAGCACGAGAGGCGCGGCTGACAGTGGAGAAGGCTACCTAGGTGTGAGGAGGAGCTGGCGGTAGGTGTGGTGCGGTCTTCGGTGCCCGAAGGCTAGCCGGCGGGGGACGCCAGTGTAGGGGTCCCACATGTCGGCAGAGCTTGTGTGGTGGTGGAGCATCGGTGTGTCAGACGTGGATTCGCAGGTGGTGAGCGGCGAGTGAAAACCTAGTCCGGCCTTGGCCGGACCGACAACGATGTCATCCCCCTCCTGAGGGCGTTGTCGTGCTATCTCACCCCTTAAGGGTGATTGCCAGGCGAAAGCCCAGTCTTAGCTCCTTTGAGTCCCGACGGACGGCGGCGGCGGTTTTTCCGTCGCCTTTCTTCTTGAAGACGTCATTTTGGCATCCCCTAGGGGGCGATCTCCTCTGTGTCCCTTTATTGGTCTAGTGGCGGTCAGTCATGCTTAGTGACAGCCGGTCCGATGCTAGCCTTCTTCTGGGCTGGTGTGTTGGCGATATCGGTGTGTGGGTGGTGGTATATTTTTTTCCTTTTTCCTGGTTACGACCTTACAGGGTTGTAATCTTATAATTTTTTTCTGCTCTATCAATATAACTTCGCACAGTTTCGTACGGGTCGTTAAAAAGAAAGATGATGCATATGCAGTCTCGATGTGGTTGTAGCTGTGATAAAGAAGCTTGCTGTGCAGAGTTTTGGTACTCGAGCTCTTGCTTGGTGGAGATACTCTCTGAGCCATGTGCAGGATGTGATTAGACAATGGATTTGGTACTAGTTTGCTAGTTGCATGGAAGAGCTGAGACCTGTATATATGGTGGGCGCATGCAGCGGCGCGCGTGGTATTGGAGTTAGTCTTTACTTATCGGAGATACTAGTCTTTACTTATCGGAGATAGTCTTTACTTTATTTCTTTATCGGGTTGTTTTCGTTTTTGTTAAGATTTTATATTTTGTGTCGGATCGGTTGATTGACGCGTATGCAATTAGTATAGGCAAAATAGAAAGCAATTAGCCCACGATTAATTAAGTTTTAACTATTACAAACTTGACAAATTGATATATTTAATTCTTTTAAAACAACTTCTATATAAAAAGTCTTCGCACATAACACACCGTTTAATAATTTAAAAAACGTGCTAACGAAAGTCGAGATAAAATCTAAATCTTAATTAATCAGAAAAGAATATGGCCACATAGTAAGTTAATTAATTTATTTTTTTTTGTTTTAGCGACTGAAATAATATTTCTAACAAATTTTTTAGATGGAGGGGGAATATATAACAGCAGGTACAATAGCAGACTATAAGCCAGCTATAAACATATTTTGAGAAGATAAATGATGAGAGAGAAAAGTAGTGGGTTACAGCCAGCTGTGCAACATGTGCTCTAAGATAAATATATGTATGACACGTGGGACTAGGTATTAATTGTGTACTATATGTTATAGGTAACTATTGGATAAATTGGCTATTAAATTAAATATAGATAATTTAGAGTTAGTAGTTAGCTATAGTATTAAACTTGCTCTAAAGCGTCTTAATCAAAACGATTTAATTATAGATGGTTTCTTGTAGCATCGAGGTCCTAGCTAGTTGTAAAAAAGATATACAGTAGCCCGTCATCATCAAAGAATGCCTATATAAGACCGAGCTTTGGTAGCCAGAGATCTCAAAGCTATAGCTACATCATTTCCTCTTAGAGTAGTTGCCGTCCACTCCAATACTGCCTGATGGGATCCTCGGGGGCACCGGAGTTGACACATGAATTGAGCAACAATCCTCGTGCCGGCGGGAGAGCAACAAGCCAACAATCTTGGGAATCGGCACGGCTGTGCCGGTGCATGTGTATGAGCAGAAGTCATTCCCTGATTATTACTTTGAGATTACCAATAGCAATCACTTGGTCGATCTAAAAGCCAAGTTTGCAAACATCTGTAAGTGCATGCGAAACTACCATTCTGTATCTGTCACGATCGATCCATAAACTTAACTGCCATAAAATCATCAAACACACACACACACACATATATATGAGAGAGATAAGCTAGATTTTCATGGTGCCCAAGTAATTATATAGTAATAATGTGATTGCATTGCAATGTAGGCAAGAAGACAACGACGGAGAAGCGGCACATGTACATCTCCGACGAGTGGCTGAGGGCCAACCCGTCGGTGACGGCGTACATGTCCACCTCGCTCAACGTACGGCAGCAGGTTGCTGAGGAGGGCATACCTCGGCTCGGCGCAGAGGCGGCGTGCAACGCCATCGGTAACTGGGGGAAGCCGGCGTCGAGCATCACGCACGTCGTGTTCGCCACCACCAGCACCGGTTGCCTGCCCAGCGCTGACGTCACGCTCATCAAGCTCCTCGGCCTCCCGCTGTCGACCAAGCGCGTCATGCTCTACCAGTCCGGCTGCTTCGGCGGCACCACGGCGCTGCGCGTGGCCAAGGACATCGCCGAGAGCAACCGGGACGCCAGGGTGCTCGTGGTGACATCCGAGGTGATGTCGCTGATCATCCGTGGGCCCTCTGAGTCCCACGTTGGCAACCTCGTTGCCCAGGCAGTGTTCGGCGACGCCGCTGGCGCCGCCGTGGTGGGTTGCTGCCGCCACCCGTCGTCCACCGGCGAGCGCCCCGTGTTCCAGCTGGTCCGGGCGTCGCAGGACGTGATACCCGGCACGGACGACGCTGTGGTGGTGAAGGTGCAGCAGGAAGGGGTGGTGATCACCCTGCACCGCGACCTGCCGCTCCACGTCTCCAACGCCATCGGCGGCGTGGTCGAGAGCGCGTTCCGCGGGGTAGGCACGACGGTCACCAGCTACGACGAGGCGTTCTGGTTGTTGCACGCCGGCGGAAGGGCGGTAGTGGACGGCGTGGAGGAGAGGCTGGGCCTC